ATGAAATACGCTTCAAACACACACACATCTGTCAGGCTCTTTGCAAACCTTTGTTTACAAATATCTTGGGACACGCACAAAAAACATGATTAAAGCTCAGGTTAATTTGCATGAATTAGGAAACCAATATTTACAAAACACAAATATAAGAATTGAAGCATAATGAAGACCAATTCACATCCTTACAAAAATAAAAGGATTTAGGCTTTATTGTGTTAGGTCATATTTAATAAACCCTTTTACATAATGAAAATGGTATTCATAGAATAAAAAAACTTCAACATATCTGCTGAAAATGAGAAGACACAAGCTTCTTATCATCAGCAAATTAGCTGTCTATGATGCATTCATGGGACATGTGCTGTCTGTTATGTGTAGATCATTTCCTCCTTGCTCCAGTGCTCCATGTTTAGTTTAACTTTGTTTTACTGCAATTTTTCTATTTTAAGGTGAATGCTGTTAAAAAGCAGACAGATTCTGAGCTTTGGTGTGGCTTACTGCTAGCCTAGTGAATTAGACCAAATTCTTGCTTTGCAAAGAATACATTTATTTAGTCTGGCTTGCCAGGCTAGCTTACTGCTGCCTTTTACATTGGAACCACAGAAATCAACACAAAACGGAGCAGAAGGTTATTTTTAGATAATGTAAGTTTGGGTGCTGCTTTGTGCAGAAAGTGTTTTCCCCTCAAACCCAATGAGTAATAAAAGTTAAAAGAACATCTTGGTAAACGCGTGTTTTATTGCTGTAGCAGCACATCATGTAAACAGTGTGGCCTAGGAATGATCTGTGAGGACACCATTAAAAGGCCGTGGTCCGAAGCGTCCCATACCAGCTCAGAATGTGTTTTCTGTACATTTGTAGTTTTTCAAACTTGTATCTAACACTGTCCACTTGTGTTACCCAGGATGTATGCTGGAAATATAGGGTGCAGAATTAGGACCAAACTTAAAGCCTAGTTTTTACATCTTCATCAGCATCTTTGTGCTCACATGTACTGACGGAGATGGTTTCCTTTATTACTTCTCCGTTTGCGTGTCAGTGTTGTGAAGCAATTCATCGCCAGGACAGCAGAGGGTGTAGCGCTTTTCTGGCACATCCTGCCATTATTGTAGTCATGTCTCTAGTGTGTTTATATTGTGTTTATGTATGTCACTTTTTAACTTGGACACATTTGTCCTCCACTTCTCCATGCAGTCACCATCTCGAAACTCATGTTTCCCATCATTTCCTGACACGAATAAAACATTTGCGTGGTATATTTGCTCTCCTTCAGTGACGGCTCTAAAAACATTTCATGTTGTCAGACATTTTCCGTAAGACTTTCTTCAGTCTGCTCCGTGTCTGTCGCTAGTTCGGCTCTCGTGTAATTCTTTTTAGGGGGAATGGTGGTGCTGTTGACAAAGTTAAAGGAAGCGGCGTCTTGACCAATCACAGACTTGGGGGCTTGTTGGAGAGCCCATAGTGAGAACTGATAATGGCGTTGTGTGTCTCCGTACTGACGCAGATGGAGAAGTATAAACTAGCCTTAAGACCCCGGCTATAGCTACTTCCATGAACCAGGAATCTATCTCTGTTCTGATTTAAGCTACTATCTGATTAATGATAGCTTCCCCATTTCTAACGACAGCATATCCTTGCTAATGGACAGCAGAGGTAGTAAGAAATCCAGTGAGGGACCCGCCTAGCCATGCTAGTCTCTAGCTTCTAAACCGCTGATGCAAGCGAAGATTCTCCTTCTCATTTTCTAGCACTGGCCGCTCGGTTACTAGCGCTAACCTATCAATAATAAAAGTAGTAGTTTACTTTGCAATGGAAGTTTACTTTCCTTTCCGAAACTGCGCTGCTCTGGGCGGCTGCATGTAGCTCTGTTGACTATATGTAAGTTTTGCCTTTTCTTGGGCATTTTTTCTTCTAGTTTCTCAAGAAAAACTGTATTTTTTGGACACTTCACATTTCTGTTTCTGGTGCTGAGAAGCTTGGAGGATTTTTACTGCTATTTTTTAGCTTTTTTCACTTTTTGAGCATTTGTTATGATGCGTAACCATGGCAACAAGCTGGTTTACCATCGGGAGCAGCTGATTAACATTGGAAAGGCTGAAATAATATCTCAACTGAAGCCACAAATCCCAAATGAGCTAAAACGCAAGAGGCATGGATGCAGAGCGAGAGCAAAACGGAGACAGAGAAAGAGGAAATTCTCTTCACAAGACTGTCGGACAACAGAAGAGTGTCTTCAGACAGAGGCTTCTTCAGTTTCGCTGCAACACTGACCGCTACTGGAGATCCTTCCTGCCAACAGCCATTGTAATATACAATAACTCTTTGATGACTTGATTGTTATTATTATTCTGTTATTATTATTCTGAGCTACTACAGCAATCAATTTCCCTCTGGGATTAATAAAGTATTTTTTAATTGAATTGAATTGAATTGAATATAGCTTCCTGGTTTGAGGATGTATCTACGGCTGGGTGTGTGATCATCTTATTTTTGGTCCTCCTGCTTCAAAGAGGACCTACATTCATTATTTAAGTAAATCTGCTGTAGCCTCTAGTATAAATAGATGCGTTGTGAAATGTTTTCAATGGAGAAAAAAGCTCTGGTGCTCCTGTTTTGGGATGTTGAAGCTAGCCGGAGGAGTGGGTAGTGGAAAATGGCAGGATTTGGAGTCTTACCCATTATTATTCATGATATGCAAACGTCTCGCCTCTTATTGGCTAACAGCAATGCAACTCTTCCATGGCCTCTAGTCGCACTTTTTTCTTGGGTAAAAAATATGCAACGTTGATATTTTATTTCCACAAATGACAGAAGCGTGAACGTGTTCCGCTATGTTGTAGAGTTGCTAATGGTTAGCTTCTGCAAGCTGAGATAGGCTCTGCTCTATCCTGGATGGTCTATCAACAACAGCCTTGCGTTGTCACAAGCCAAGGTGGATGAGTTCATGGAGGCAAATATTTCCCTGTGACGTAGACGACTGGCTTTTTCTGACCCATCAGTTGTCTTTCGGCGACTAATGTAGGAAATGGGGGGGTTGAAGACTATTTTCATGTTCAGCATGGACGTGAAGCCCAACATGACCATGGTCATATTTCAAGAACAGCAAGTATACGTTTCTCTGTGAACCTCCGCTTTATGACCAAAGCCACCACTGGGGATGCAATAGTCTTAATTTTGACCCTAATATTACGCCATAGACACAAGTCTCAGAAGGGATGGCTAAAAACATATTTTTAAATTATAAGTTGTTTCTGTGTGAAAGCCTAACAATGATGCTTTAATTCCAATCACGTTGGATTACGTCTGGCGCTTTCGAGAGATGAAAATATTTCTTTATTGTATTTTTCACACCAGATTTGTCCTGTTAGAGGTTTTAGACCATTTAAAGATCATCTCAGCTTTTGTGCTGTGGAAACATCATATGCCATCATAGATGCTTATTTACCAGGTGGTCTACCTTAATCAGGCCCGACCCTGCTTGGCTTAGTTTAAGATTAGCTGTGCTGAGGTTGGGAATGCTGTGAGTTTAGTCAATCAAATAATAAAAAAAACCCGGCAAAACAAATGCAGACCACAGAAAAACTAAGGACAAAAAAAGTCACCAGTTTAGAAGCATGAACAGTACTGTAACCTCTTGTCTAATGATTATTAAATGTTTTGTGTTATTCTCCTGTTTGAGATGGGTTTTTTTTTCAACTACATGTTCTCACAGTCCAGTTGGCTCTTTACCAGCCGTAAGAAAGCTCCTACTTTGCATAAAACCAGTTGAGCTAACTTGTGAACCAACTTAATGCACAAACGTTTGGCTTCTTTTTGCTTCATCACAGAGGTCAAACCGAGCAACACGAGCAACAGCACGCATACAGATGAAGCAACACATGCTATCAAATGTCAGTCACCGGGTCCAAGTGTTCTGATTAAAAGACAGTCACTCAGGGCTCTGTGAGGGTAGAAGGAGTTAGGTCAGACATTCTGTAAGTTAGCTCATATCTCCTTCCTGGACAGATTTTATTCCCTCCCAGACCTTTTCTCTCCAGTCTGTGATGTCACTCTCCTCCATTACTCACCCAGTCTCACCCTGTAGCCCCTCCCTGTTTATGAGCCTCACATGCAGTTACATTAACAAAATACCCGTGAACAAAAACAAGGTCCTTTTGAGGTTGGTGGGGGATACGTTAGCTTTGTTTATTTTTGGAGCACACATCTGTTTTGCATTGAGACATTAGCATCTAACTTACATGTGCAGCGAGGCCCCGGTGGGGAGTTAGCTTCACAGTTGGTGTACATTTTGTTCCATACCGTGTTCTCATGGAGACAGGCTTGTGTTTTAGTCGGCAGAGGAGAGGATGTCATACTGATGCACTTGTTTTGTTCTCACATGGCCTTGACACGAGTTGAAAAACGATCTTTCTTTGGTTCATCCTTTTGTGAGTTGTTTCTGCCGCCCAGTAGCAAACTGGGTTAGTGTAAATAAACAAAGATGGCACGTCTCACTGTGACCGCCATCTGATGGATGTTTACTGGGACTGCAGAGCACTTGGTGGAAGGTTTGAAGACTTGACAAGATATAACTGAAGCCAAAAATAAATAATTAATAAACAGCAACGTGTCGTCAAAAACCAAGGCAAGCTCAATTATTTTGTGTAAAAAAGCAAATTCTCAAGTTAAAGAGTTTTAGAACTTATGATTTTCACTGATTGTCATAAATCCTTTTTTAGGTCTGATTTGAACCCAACAACAAACAAACCTGCAAATGTTTCTTTGTTTCAGTAGCATCATAAACGTGGAAAAGCATCATAAAGCAGAACGTTTGGCTGGATTCCTTTAAATGGGGATAGTTTGCCCCAAAATATAAATAGAGAAGTTTAAACCTCAAGCTAAATGTACTCTGATCTAATGTGATCGCCCGTCTTCTGGTCAAAGCGTGTGAGAACGGCAGGTGTGTTTTTGCGATTAAAGAATGCACGACTTGATGTTGTACCTGTTTTGCATCTCGTCAGATCTGCCTGGAGACGGAGCGCCTGGGCCCTCGCCGCGTCGAGAGCCTGAGGAAAGAGGATGAGGAGTGGCAGAGGAAGGCCCACTCTGCAGTGCTCTCCATTCAAAACCTGACTGTCAAGTTCTTTGAAACCACGACTCGAGCCCAGAAGGGTAAACAAACAATGAGCCGTTTCCTCTCTTTATGGGAAAACGTTGAACACTGTCTTTGTTTTGACCTTTGAACCATTGAAGAGGACTATTGTAGGTCATAACAAATGTTCTCACATGCACTGACACCATCTGACTTCAGGTTTTCCTTCTGCTCATCAATCTGTACAATATCCAAACTGTATTTAGTGGATTTTTGCACCATTTTTTCATTTATTCTTTTTGCAGTTTATGTTTGAGTGCACTGAAGGAGCTGCTTTTAACCTCATTTCACATGCGTAAAGTGACAATAAAATAGGCATTCATTCATTCATTTAGTTGTTCCATTGTAGGGTTTTTTTACAAGAAAATGGGAAAATCACATCAAGACCAACTTATTGTAGATTTGTGGAAGTGCTTGGTCGTGTTCACTCTTAACGATGTGAACGCCGCTGTTTATGTTGCAGCACTGTACGAGCGAATGCGTGTGGACCAGAGGAAGTTCGGAAAGTCATCCTGGGCGGCTGCAGTTGAACGCATGGAGCGGCTGCAGCACGCTCTCTCCAAGGAAACGCTGCAGCTCATGAGAGCCAAAGAAATCTGCCTGGAAGAGAAGAAACACGGCTTGAAGGAGGAGGTAAAGTTTATCAGGGTGTGTTCTTAAAAACTTTAAATTGCAACAAGAGTTGGAGAGAGAGGGCGGGGTTTGATAACGGCTGTGATGGAAAAATGACCTCACAGCTCCGGCATCCTGCAACAGAAGGAATAACATCCTGAGTTCAACAGTGGGAATAATGAGTCACTGGGAATGACAGTGGGGTCAAAAGCTGAAAATACACTTTTCATCAGAACAAATGAGAAAGTCACACAATCCTTTAGGCCCCAGAGAGGGTTAGAGTTTGGGTAAGACAGTCGTGATTGTGAGACTGTGTTTTTTTTGGTTTTTTTTAGATGCAGAATCTGCAGGGAGGAGAGGATGCTATGGCACGTCTGGACCAGTTGGAGGCGCTGTATTATGAGCTTCAGCTGCAGCTGTACGACATTCAGGCCGAGGTGCTGCGCTGCGAGGAGCTGCTGCTGACCTCGCAGCTGCAGAGCCTGCGCCGTCAGATGACAGGTGGGCGTGGCTGCTCATGCTTTCATGTGGTGGTCGAGTCGTAACTGACCAATAAGAACAGGAGTAAACACGAGTAAAGTTTGAGGATCAGCTGTTGTCGTGTTTCCAAGTGTGGAGGAGTTATTTTGTAAATCATGAATCTTAGATTTGAAATGTAAGTTTCCTAAACGAGTATTGGTCAGAGTAATGACCTGCTTGTGTACATGTGGTAGAGAAACCTCGGGGAGAGTTTTTGAAGTAAATCAAAAACCACAACTTTATTAACACCGAGTGACCGGACGAGCAGATTTTCAGTGAATCTGTTCCAATTCTCCACCAGAGCGACAGGATGAGGTGGTGTACTACGATGCCTTTGAGAGCCCCGATGCCATGAAGGATAAAGAAGAGCCGGCGGTTCCACTGTGGCCCCTCAAAGATGCAGAACTCTACCTCCTCCAGCAAAGGACGCGGCAACTCGAGGCCCGCCGAGGTCGCATCACTGCCAAGAAAGTCTACCTCAAACACAAGAAGGTGGGATAGAGAGGGCTCCTTTTGTGTCTAACGGTGGCTTTAGAAGCTGCGGTGGTTTCTGTAGCGTCTGAGCTGTTGTGTGCCGTCTCCTTTTTAGGAAATCTGTATTGTTAATCACAACCAGAAGATACAGCAGAGACAAGGAAGTAATTCTGGCTGCAACTCTTTAAAGGTACGGCAACAGCTGGAGTTTGTGACTGAATCTGAACAAGGTACAGAATCTGAATCTGGTTAAAGGTACAGGAGATCATACAGGAAAACAAACACCGTTCAAAGGTTCAGTCCCTTTTCTTCAGATCCTCCTCAATAAGCCACGCCTCCAGAATAAAGGAGGATGCCAGATTCAACAGATTCTGTCCAACAGCTGTAAAGACATTATGTTATCTCAGCTTTTTGACTCGTTTTTGGCACCTTTTCCACCATAGTTCCTAATGTAACGCACCTACATAATAGAAGACTGGCTAATACAGCTAGCCCTGCTCTGGCTTCACTTCCTGTTCGGCTGCTCCAAGCTGAGAATGAATGCACATCGAGGGTTATGTGTAGAGGGGGTGGGACGGTGAGAGGCCAGTGATGGATGGATCAGGATCCAGTGGTTCATACCGGGCCGTTCATAGAGAGGTTTTTCCAGAATTGTCTTTCAGAGACGATTAAAATTCTTTTTTTTTTCTTTTTTTTTTTTTTTTTACAAAACATTTAATTGTTGGTTGCCATCAATACATGAAAGACATTTCAAGCAATATGGCAAAACATCCTCTTGAAACACACGTGAGCCCACCTTTAACCACATTATTGGGAACAGTTCCACCAGCCACACCTGTAGAATCACTAGACACCGTTAGAGTAACACGTCTCTTTCTAATGTCCCACCCCAGAACTTCTACACTACGGCACACCCCACTCAATTAAGGTCAGAGGTTACAAATTAAGACAGGGCAACAACGGCTTCCATGGTTGAGTTCAAGGCAAAGCGTCTTACCAGAATGAACGCTTTCACTAAAAGCCGCCTGCATAATCTCCAAGGCTTTTGGTGAAATGGTCTTTAGTTTAGCATGAAAAAACTGGACTTCTCATTGGTTCGTGTTCCCTTACACCTGGTGTAGAAACAAAAATGTGTTTCAGAAAAACAATACAGCAAGAGTCAGACATGGTGGTGGTAGTGTGATGGTCTGGTGCTGATGAAAACATGAGAATGTCTGACCTTTGACCCCCAAAGGGTTATTATGTTGGAAAAACCCTCCAATGTAGCCAGAATAGAGTGACTGTAAAGAAGAGCAGGGCAAAATTCCTCCTCAGTGATGCGAGAGACTCGTTACCAGTTATCCCAGTTTCTGCCAAGAGCAAAACAACCAGATAATAGCGTCAGGGATCAATTACTGCTTCACGCAGGGGCCATGTTGATAAAAGAAGAAACACCAACTAAAACCAACCAGTTGGTTGATAACAGACTGTTGCTTCTTCAGGCAGGGGGCGGAGCCGAGGAAGATGATGAGGCTCAGAGAAACGCCTCGGTGATTCAGGAGAGGCAGAGGACTCTGGACAGACTTCGTAGCCTAAAGCAGGTGAGGTCTGATCTGAGATCAGCATGACTGATCATGGACTCGGGACGTTCATAAGTTTCAGGTGTTTTGATGCATTTTAATCATCCCGTCCCGTTTCTTGCTGACGTGAAGCTTAAGTGTTGACGGTGTCTCCACACAGCGGTATCCAGGTCAGTTCACTCTGAGGTCCAGCCGGCAGCATCTGACTCACACTCGCAGTCGGCAGCGAGCGGGCCAGCAGCCCAGCACCCAGGAAGTCAGCGTTCAGACCGACTCCGCCCCCGACCTCCCAGAACTCTCAGCTCCTCCCCCCGCTGACGGCGACAGCGTCTCCCTTCCCTCCGTTGACCTCCGAAGTCTAGAAGACACTTCGCCTTTCTTCTCTCTGCCTCCTCTCTTATCGTCTCCGTCTGTTCTGTCACTGGATCTGCCTCCTCCTCCTCCCCCTCCTCCTCCCCCACCACCACCTCCTCCTCCATCACTTCCTCCCACAGAAAACCCCCCAGCCAGCCCTGTGCGGGAGCTTAAGCATGAGTCTGAATCCTCCTCGCTGCCACTGGCTCCTTTCTCCCCTCGCTATTTTGACAGCAGCCAGCTGCTGTCAGCGAGGACGAAGCTGAGAAAGACAGCATCTCTGGACTCATCTCAGTGGAGGAGAGGTGAGGAGGGGGAGGGGTTTGTCTAGATTATTGCTTCACCATCAAAGACTCAGACCAGTAGGACTTATGGACTGCTATTGGTTACAAAGAAACCATGAATTACATTTATTTAGGCAAAAACACGTTTTACTTAAATTTTCAAGAAATAAAATACAAAAATCTTTAGCAACTGTTTAGTCAAAAGGACACTTAAAAAATGCAAAATTGTACCTGCTTATTTAGCAGTTTGAAAAGATAAAAGCTCTCAGCTCCCTAAATAAGGTAGAACATCAAATCAATCTCACAACATTGAGTGTTATGAGATTTAGTTGTTATTATTTGAATTATTTATTTCCCATAGTGAGCTACAGGTGCGAGATGTGTGTGGTGTCTTCCACCTCTGAGAAAGTGCGGGTCATCTAGCACAATAAATTATATATATTTTTTAAAGTTTTTATCTCAGGCTTCTGACGTTCCCGCTCATACTGTATTCAGATTACTCAATAAGCAAGCTATGAATCTAGCTAGTATTCATTCAAAATGCACAGATACTCCCCGCAACATCCTGGGACATTACATGTGTGTTCTGAGTATCTTCTTTGTTGTTTTCTTCTCATCCAACATGGTCTTTAGCTGTAGTTCAGGCTAGCATTAGCAGTAGCTTGGGCTAGAATTAGCAGTAGCTTAGGCTAGTGTTAGTAGCAGCTTGGGATACCGTTAGAAGTAGCTTGGGCTAGCTTTAACACTAGCTTAGGCTAGTGTTAGCAGTATCTTCAATTCAATTCAATTCAAAAATACTTTATTAATCCCAGAGGGAAATTGATTACTGTAGTAGCTCAGAATAATAATAATAATCAAGTCATCAAAGAGTTGTTGTATATGACAATGGCTGTTGGCAGGAAGGATCTCCAGTAGCGGTCAGTGTTGCAGCCAAACTGAAGAAGCCTCTGACTGAAGACACTCTTCTGTTGTCAGACAGTCTTGTGAAGAGAATGCTCAGGGTTGTCCATCATTTTCTTGATTCTCTGGAGAATCCTTCTTTGCATTATCTCCTCCAGCGGTTCCGAAACTGCCGAAACTCTGGCTGAGCCCTTGAAAAGGCTTGGAGTTCCTCCATCTTGTTGGCCAGTGATCTCACATTGCCCATTATGATCGATGGAAGAGATGGTTTGAATTTCCTCTTTCTCTGTCTCCGTTTTGCTCCCGCTCTGCACCCACGCTTCTTGCGTTTTAGCTCATTTGGGATTTGTGGCTTCAGTTGAGGTATTATTTCAGCCTTTCCTATGTTAATCAGCTGCTTCCGATTGTAAACCTGCTTGTTGCCATGGTTACGCATCATAAATGCTCAAAAAGTGAAAAAATTGCAGTAAAAATCCTCCAAGCTTCACAGCACCAGAAACAGAAAAGTAAAGTGTCCAAAAAAATAGCCTCTCAATTCAGGGTCTGCATCCTTCGAAGGACCCAGCCCACCCGGCCGACGTGGGCTGCGTCCTCCGTCGGCCGGGTAGACCGGATGTTAACGGCTGTGAATTTGGACAGGCCTAGCCTTCATGAACTCCCTTGGGAACGTTCCATCGCCTAGCAACCGTGGAACCGCTGAGCAGGGAGAAGGAACTTTAAACGATGGAGCTCGACGTTTTATTGGCCTTTTTAATCATTTCCTTGACTGTTGGAGAGCTAATTCAGAGAAAATACTTTCGACAAGCTGAGCCTGAGCAAAGATGTGATAATAGTTTTTAATACTTCCTAAGGGTCTTAATTTGACCAAAACCGATTTATCACCTTTTAAGACTTTTCAAGACCCAGCGGGATACCCTCTAGTAAACAATTCTCATTTGTAAACAAAAATAAAATTCAAGAGTTTAATGCAGAACTGATTTTATTTAGATATTTCTTTTATATGTACATGTTTAATCTTTATTAAACATTTTTTTCTAGCAAAGTAAAAAGCTGTCAAAATTCTTCCTTCTCTCCTGTGCCCTCTGCTGCTCTGCCTCCCTCTGCAGCCTCATGTCCTCCCTGATCAGCTCCAGAAGCTGGTCATCGCTGTCACCTTCCCCTGGATGCCCATTTTGTCCAGAATAGTCTTAACAAACATGTAAGAAAAGAAACAGGAAGAGAAAAGAGGACAACGGGTTATTCCTTTCATGTTTTTGCAGAAAAAAATAAACTCAAACGAGTTTTTAAAATATGAGATGTTATTGTACCTCCATGCCACAGCCGCCGAATACTTTGCTCCGGTGATCATGTGGTCCATCTCCACCCTAAGCTTAATAAAGTCCCTGGTTTTCTCTTTCGTTCCTAAAATACAAACTTCTATTAAAATCAGGGGGAAATGTAGCGGGAGAAGTACGACACCGAGCGCGGCCGAACATACGAGCCGAGACCGCAATACAAGCACTTTTACTGTAACATTTCTAACTAAAATAACGTTCATGTATCACCAAAAGCCCTTAACCTAACAGTTTTCAAGTTTATACTGACATTTATATGCGCAATCCTCTCCAACAGCTCCCGCTTCACTGTCCGCCATTGTTTTTAAGTTTTTCTGCCGGCCGGCCCGCAAGGCATCTTGGGAAATGCTACCTATTGAAGGATACACCGGACCCATCCTTCATTCAGGCGAAAAGAAGGCCGCATTCGTCGACCGCATTTGAAGGAGTCTTCGAATTGGGACAGGCCTAGTCGCGGCGCTGTGACGTAACCGGCTGACAAATCCAGCTGACGTAGGATGCAGACCCTGAATTGAGACACAGCCATACAGTTTTTCTTGAGAAACTAGAAGAAAAAAATGTACAAAAAGGCAAAACTTACATATAGTCAACAGAGCTACTCCAACATGCAGCGCAGTTCTTGGGCTAGCATTAACAGAAGCTTAGGCTAGTGTTAGCAGTAGCTTGGGCTAGCATTAACAGTAGCTTAGGCTAGTGTTAGCATTAGCTTAGGCTAGCATTACCAGCAGCTTGGGCTAGTGTTAGTAGCAGCTTGGGATACCGTTAGCAGTAGCTTGGGCTAGCATTAACGGTAGCTTGGTCTAGTGTTAGTAGCAGCCTGGGATACCGTTAGCAGTAGCTTGGGCTAGCATTAACAGCAGCTTGGGCTAGTGTTAGCAGCAGCTTGGGATACCGTTAGCAGTAGCTTGGGCTAGCATTAACAGTAGCTTAGGCTAGTGTTAGCAGTAGCTTGGGCTAGCATTAACAGTAGCTTAGGCTAGTGTTAGCAGTAGCTTGGGCTAGCATTATCAGCAGCTTGGGCTAGTGTTAGCAGCAGCTTGGGATACCATTAGCATTAGCTTGGGCTAGCATTACCAGCAGCTTGGGCTAGTGTTAGCAGCAGCTTGGGATACCGTTAGCAGTAGCTTGGGCTAGCATTACCAGCAGCTTGGGCTAGTGTTAGCAGCAGCTTGGGATACCGTTAGCAGTAGCTTGGGCTAGCATTAACAGTAGCTTAGGCTAGTGTTAGCGGTAGCTTGGACTAGCATTACCTGCAGCTTGGGCTAGTGTGCTGTTAGCATTACTGCCACCAACATCTATAAATAGCTGACACTGAAGTGGGGTGGGACATGCAAATTTAAGGTGATGTTAGATGATGGTTAAGGTGATTTGTCTAAGCTTAAACCATATTTCAGAACCTGTACAACTTTACTAATTAACATAGGGAAGCAGGCCGGAGATGGCACAGGTGTTTTAAGTACATTTGGCACCCCAAGCTGCCTTTACACAACAAGGTAAATACAGTTTGGGTTTCCAGGACCCATTTAAAACTACTCACTCCTCCCAAAAAGTTTTTGAATGTCGTATTGATTCTGCCGTGTTAAATCGTTTCAGCAAGCTTCCCCCATGCAGTATATTATGTTGCAGGATGCATGTTTGACATCTTTCTCACAGAAGGTATAAAAGTTGCACAGGGTAGACATGTTTGTTTGCGTTTTGCTGCGCAGTGTTATAGGAATGGGGAGGGAGATGCTACACTGCCTAAAGTCTGAGCTACAGGTGATCAGCACTGAAAAGCATCGATCGAGATATGTCGATCACATACTTTCCACGGACATTGGCCAAAAACGATCGGTGGCTGACACTATTGAACTTAAAGACAAGCATTTTAAATACAGAAGCGTGTGATTCTGCTAAAATGCGGGTAGAAAACACTGAATCAGCAAAACCTGTTAAGGTTACATGTACTGAACTCCGAAGATAAAATAAAACTTTGGTGAGCATTCACCAACTGAAAAGATGGAAATCGATGTAAAAGAAGAGTCGCAAATATGTTTGATTTTTCCACAATTTTCAAACAAATTCATAAAGATCAGATTTTTGGTCCAACTGATCAGAGATTTTTATCGTAAGTGAACTCGGAGTCTAGAGAAAAGACATTTAAGGCCTTCTAAAGGGTCAGAAAATCTAAAGCTTTTATTGTGAAAAGTCAACATCTCAGATGAAATATCTGATGACCTTTCTCAGCACGTTTGAAGTAAACAAAATAGTTTCTCTCTGTTCTTCTCAGTGAGCTCACCCATGGACGAGGTGTTAGCCTCTCTGAAACGCGGAAGTTTCCACTTGAGGAAGGCGGAGTTGCGGGTCCTGGGCCCCGACCCGGACGACGACAGCAACAATATCCTGGCTCAAATTCGACAGGGTGTCCGTCTGAAAAAAGTCCGTACCCGACCGGAACAACAACGCCACCCAAAGAGCTTCCCGCACTCGGCCGACGCCCTTACCCGCAGCATCCACGAGGCCCTGAGGAGGATCAAAGAGGCGTCTCCGGAGTCTGAGTCAGAGGACGAAGGCCTTCCCTGCACCGACTGGGAAAACTAAAGTTTGAAAAGGTTTCAAACATCAAAACTTGACTTTTTTTTTATTCCATGCAGCCAAATCAGTCGAGCCCAACCCGAGTCGAGCAGACAAGCTGGGGTCACTCGAGGACGCCTTGGTGCAATTCAGACAAGAAGAAAAAAACATTTTTATACCAGCAGACATTTGTTATTTGTAAAGAAGGGTCATTCTTCCTGTTGTTTTTTACATGTTGAAGCTCTCATCGAGGGCACAGCCTCTAACCTCCTGTTAGTCGTACTGTAGCTCGCTGCGATGGCTTTGCTTTAAGCACCCGGTTTCTCGACTGCACAGCAGCCATTTTATAGCAGAGTTCTGCAGAAACGTCATCAGTCCGCGCCTCTGCTTCTGCTCTCACAGATGCTGTTAATCCCAGCTCAGTGTTTAAAGAACGCCTCCGATCCACTCGTTAGGGGTCGCTCGAGTCGGTGATCAGATGATTTTACTGCCGTTTGAGATTCAAGAGAAACTTTATCATGATTTAAATATCAGGTTTGAGTCAAAATAAACAGATAACAGTTCAGAGGAACGTAAGCACTTTTAACATAAATGAGTAATGGATGTGCTGAAAATGTAAACAAAAAGCAGATTATTTACCGTAAAATTCATTTTTAACTTTCTGGAGCCTTTTAGCAGGATATGAAGCAGGCTTTACTGCCCTCTGCTGGCCGCCATCAGGATCACCACAACATCAGCATAATTTGTGATGTTTGTTTATTTTAGGGAACCTCTATATTTAGTGTGTGTGTGTGTGTGTGTGTTTAGGTTAATCACTAACTTCATTCTCTTTTCATGTCTGCTGTTTTACAGATTTTTTTCCCTTGCATGCGTTACTCACTTTGTGTTGGATTTTGGTGCGTGTGATTGTGTTTTTATTTTAACTTTTGGTTTTCAAATGCACTTTTGACTCCAAAATCAACATATTTCTAGTTTACCACTATGCATTTAGTGCTTTAGCTTGTTTTTCTTCCCTGCTGATTGTTTAGTGGGAGATTCAGTAGCTTTCTGTTAGCATAGCTTAGCATAAAGTCAGGCAATGGATCCAACCAAAAGATACACATCAAAGGAAATGAAAAGTTTGTCGGTGATATTCGTGATGACGAGATATTCTAGAATGTTTTCTCTGATTACTCGCGGATTGATTGTTGTAACTTTAGAACGGCGGAAGAATCAGAAAATAAATTTCTAAAGTCAAATTCTAAAAAAGCAATTTTGGGGGAAAAAAAGCTAAAAATGTTGTTTAAAATCTGCAACCAAGAGGGATCATTTCTTTGGGGTAACGGAATTGTTTACATCTCAAACAGCTGCTTTCTAGGTCACGTTTCCCTCTCTGCGCTAAGCTAACCGTAGCTAAGTGTCATCGTGAACGACTGACGTGGAGTTCTTCCTCAGCTCTGTGTAAGCGGCCCACAGTAGAAACAATTAGCCTTTTTTCATCGTTTAAATGTCTTTTTTGTGCTTCAGATTGTTTTCATGACTTCTCTGACTCGTTACCAGTTACACATGTGACCAGTCTAAGGACAAAGCCATCACAACGTATGTGCAATAATGAAGATGGAGGTTAATGAAAGTTACTGTAATGAAATGTAAATCATGGAAAAAGTATCCACATGCCTAAATGTATTGAAGTATTTATTGAAGCTTCACATTTTAAATGATTTTTTAACGTATAAATGTACTTTATGATGTTTTCATTACATTCCTGTCTGCTTTTCACCAATGTCTATTTTTGTTCTTTCAAAACAAAAGCCCCAAGATGTATTTGGGAGCTCAGACAGCAGCAGCTAGCAGTTTAGGTCATCATAGATCTGGAGACCACCACACTAACGTAGGCAGATGGGACTAGAAGTTTTCCCGCCAAACACTTTAAAGCAGCCCAAGATGAAAATATGACTTGCGTATTTTCGACTTGTCTTTGTAAACAAATGTCGTTTTTCAGACTGGAGGAAATCTGCTATGATGCAGAAAGGATCGGTGCAGGGTCTCGGTAAGGTCTTAGTGCTCACAAGAGGCTCCTCATTGGAACTTAATACATGGACTGCAGTACCCACATGTGACCACAAGAGGCTTTTCTTACTTCATCCACCTTTAACATTTCAATTTGTTTTCCTAAAATTGTTTCTACATACATTAGTTTTAATATGAGCAGTTTGAAAGATAAATCTTTAAGTAGAAATGTTTGCAGACCCTGAGTAGCGATAAAGGCATGTAGCTGTAAATGTACACAAACGGGTGACCATAACACATCAAAGCGAAAAACATCAGACATTCAAGCACACAAAATTTCTTATATTTTTATTATAAACTCAAAATTACAATTTTTTTTATTGAAATCCTTTTTTTCTGCAATAATTTCATAATTTACTGTGATAATCTCCTTTAAGTGTACCCAAACCAGCAACAAGCCCTTCAATCGTGCTCTTCACACGTACTCATCGCAGCGTGTTCTCTAATTTTTGGCAATAGTTAATCCCACGAAAAGAAAAATAAACAAACGTACCACCAGTTAGCTACCGTGGATGCATCTCTGTGCCAAAGGCAACATCAGCTAAAGTTTGTATCTGTACAGAAAAAAAACAGCATTTGGCAAAAGAAACAAAACGGTTCTCTGCACATCCGACCACTTCGCTCAGGAAAATTGCCATTTTCCAAAACTTAAAACGCGTACCGCACGATAAGAAAAAAAATCAAGTCAAAACACGTAAATCAAGATATTTTGCTTTTGAACAACTTTTTTTTCATAACTTCTGTAATAAATAAACAAAAAGAATTAAAGGAGTCACACTTCAAAACATCTGACTCACACACACTAATGAGTGCACTAGGAAGTTTTTTCTCCTAAAAAAACAAGAGTTTGCTGAGTTAAATCCCGCCTCGGCGGTTTGATCCACTTAGCGGGAGCTCTTCGATACCTGAGAGCGAGACTGGAAAGTGTTTAGAAACCATCCTTGTATTGCTCATTGATTGTAAAAGATCAAATATGCTGGCGTCCTCGTGTGGCAGCTCCTCTTTTACCTCAAAACACACACACACCTACCTGTCTCATAGGGGAGGGGTTAGTTTGGCTGATTACGGTGGTTTTAATGAACCGTGTAAAAAAAGAAACGGGTTAAAGTGTAACGATCGTCTTTAGTGTTTTCACGATGAAAAGAAAAAGAGAAGAGACGGTTTTCCAGACTGGAGCGGGGAGGAGGAAGGCTTCACTTGGCTGTTTGTAAACAATCCGAGTGTTGACGAAGCAAAGTTCGTGTTCCGCTGATGCTTGAAGTCGAGTGTAAACTCAAGTGGTGATGATGTGAGTGCCGTCGTCTCTCGAGCAGCCCTGTGAGTGCCGGCTGCTGATGCAGGAGGTGGTGATGGGGAGGCGAGGGTGCCTTTGGTCCCTCTAGCTTCCCTCGATCAGCTTGGCCAGCGTGTCACGCAGCTCGGTCAGCTCAAAGATCTTGCTGTCCAGCAGCTCCAGGAGAGAGCGCAGGCTCTTCTGATAGGCCTCCCTCTCCAGCTGGGTGCTCTTCAGACGCTGCTGCAGGTCGCTCAGCTGCGCCTCCAGAGTCTGGTTCTTTGATTCTGTGTCCTGAAGGAAACAGAAACACATTAAAGGTCTAGGTTTCCCTTAAAGGAATGAGTTTTAGGATCATCTAACGTTGGGAAACGGGAGTTAAAGCAGGTTTTTTCCCCCCACAGTGTACATGTGTCCAAAACCAGGGGCTGCATCCCTCCAGGTCTGCATTTTAAGGTCGATTACGTCACAGGGAAGCAACAAGGCAGTCAAAAATTGAAGGATCCTCAAAATGCATCCTGATTGCCTCAAATTTCAGGGACAGGTCTGGTCATCACTGGCTAGCTCTATCCCAGGATTCACTGTAGGGAGGAATACAGTTTTGAAAGGTAGGAGATGCTTTTCTGGAACATTTTTCACCGTATTGCTTGAAATGCTCTTCACACACCGATGGAAACCAATAAGATGTTTGGTCAAAAACGTACAATTGTTAATGACTGGATCCTGATCCATCCATCAAACTGCCCTCTGACCGTCCCTCCCCCCATCGGCACACATCCCTTTGTGTGCACCAACCACAGGAAGCAAAGCCAGAGCTGGGCTGCCTTAGACTAGAAATCCAGAAGGAGCCTAGCAAAAGCAAAATGATTTTACTTTGCAGGTCAGTCTAGTCACACTTTATTGGAGCTTCAGCAGGTCTACCACTGGCCTCAGCACTTTTGTTTCTTGCCAATCACATGACTATGTCATGTTGTCCATTGTCCAAAAGCATGTGGAGGCAGTTTGTTGCATTGGCGCGCACGTGTGTGTGTGTGTGTGTGTGTGTGCGTGCGTGCGTGCGTGCGTGAGTGAGTGAGTGGATCCAGCAGATGGGAGACAGTTTGGGTCGGATTCTGGAAGTTAAGCTAATTATCTGTGAAATGGATTTTTGCTTGCTAATGCTAGTTAGCTGTGATAGCGTCTTGAATCGGGTTGAATCAGTGGCCGACGTACATCCAGTGATGACATCTCAGTAAATGTTAAATCCTTCTACATAAACTTTGTTGGAGGTGGCATCAAAATTACACAGGCCACGCCTTCTTATGAACAATGGATCTGATTGGCTCTCACTAGTTGGAGCCCCTCTACTTATGTTTTTCCAGCATTTCAGATTTCAGATTTATTGGCAAGTAAAAGTACATTTACAAGAAATTTAGCTTCGGTAGATGTTTGCTCTCTAAAACATACAACTACAATAAATGAGAATAAAAATACATAAAAAACACATAAGAACATGTACACACACACATATACACATGTATACACACATATTCATACACACACACACATATCCATAAGCATACTGAATAAGTATAAAAACTATAATAAAAAGATGGTAAAAGAATCTACAGATTCAGGAGAGAAATGGCTGAAGGAAGGAAACTGTTCTTGTGTCTGGTAGTTTTTGTGTACAGTGATCTATAGCGCCTGCCAGATGGGAGGAGATGGAAGAGAGTAGATGCAGGATGTGTGGCATCTTGGACAATATTCACTGCCTTTTTCCTGGTCCTGCTGATGTACAGTTCCTGGACAGAGGGCAGCTGGGCACCAATGATTTTTCCTGCCGTTTTTGTGGCTGACCCAAACCAGACAGTGATGGATGAGCAAAGTATGGATTCGACTGCAGCAGTGTAGAAGATGATCAGCAGCTCTTGTGATAGGCCGTACTTCCTTAGTTGCCGTAAGAAATACATCCTCTGCTGAGCCTTTTTGAGGATGGAGTTGATGTTTGTTTCCCACTTCAGATCCCTGGAAATGATAGTTCCCAAGAACTTGAATGAGTCCACCATTGACACTGGGCTGTTGGATATTGTGAGGGGGGGCAGCACTGTGGGAAGCTTCCTAAAATCCACAACCATCTCCACAGTCTTAAGGGTGTTAAGCTCAAGATTGTGCTGACTACACCAGACCACCAGCCTCTCAACTTCTCATTAAGCAGACTCATCACCATCCCGGGTGAGCCCAATGACAGTGGTGTCATCTGCAAATTTCAGGATTTTAACAGCCGTGTCTTTAGAGGTGCAGTCATTGGTTTACAAAGAAAAGAGCAGTGGAGAAAGGACGCGCCCCTGTGGTGCACCGGTGCTGGTCAACCTTGTGCCAGACGTAACATTGTTCAACCGCACATGCTGGCTCCCATTTGTCAGGAAGCTGGAAATCCACTGACACATGGCAGGGGAAACAGTGAGCTGAGAAAGCTTTGAGGTGAGGATTTCTGGTATAACGGTGTTAAAAGCAGAGCTAAAATCCACAAACAATATCCTTGCGTAGGTCCTTGGTTGATCAAGATGTTCCAGGATGGAAGTGCAGCCCCATGTTAAATGCATCATCCACTGACCTGTTTGCCCTATAGGCAAACTGCAGGGGATCCAGCTGGTGGCCTGTGGTGCTTTCAAGATGGGACAGCACCAAGCGCTCAAAGGACTTCATGACTACTGATGTCAAAGCCACGGGTCTGTGGTCATTCAATTCGGTAGGGGAGGATTTCTTAGGTACTGGAATGATAGTGGAACTTTTGAAGCATGATGGAACCTCACACAGCTCCAGCGATCTGTTGAAAGACAAGTGCTAGTTGGACAGCACAGGTCCTGAGGCAGGAAGGAGTTACTCCATCTGGGCCTGGTACCTTCCATAGGTTCTGTCTCCTAAAGATGTTGCAGACATCCTCTTCATTCACAAGGAACGCAGCTTGTGATTTAGAGGGAAGAGGAGTAAGAGTTTCCAGGTGAGCGGTGGCGGCTGCAGCTATGCTGGAGTGGAGGAGGGGTGTGACTTTCCTTTCCTCAAAGCGACAGTAAAAGCCATTTAGCTCCTCAGCAAGGCCATGATTAGCATCAGAAATGAAAGATGGTCTCGTGTAATTGGTAATGTGCTGAATGTTTCTCCACAATAATGTGGGGTTGTTGGCTGAAAACTGGTTTTTCAGCTTTGCTGCATACTTAATCTTAGCAGCTCTGGTCTTCTTAAGCCGGGCGGACACTGTGCAACTTTTTCACTCGTAGCACTCAGCTTCAGCTCAAACTGTACGACTTCCTCGCCGGGCAGATCTCACGAGCCATGTGGTCACACTGCACGTCTGGTAGCAACACGTCGGACCTAAAAATATGCTAAAAATAGCAGTTTTTACACAACACGTCAGACTTTTTTGTCTTGTTTTGCCTGTTGTCCTTCGGGAGTGCTGCAGGAGGACACACAGGGATTTATGGGGGTTGGACGAGGAAAACGAAATAAAGAAAGTAAATCTGTGTTTTGTGATCAGTTTAATTTGACATGAACACGACAAACACTAGGGCTGTAGCGAAGCCTCGACTACGTCGACGGCTCGATTCTAAAAATTTGTCGACGTCAGATCCGGAAGTCGACGCACCGCGCCCACTTGTTGCATCCCCAGGAGTTTGTAAATAGAGGAGGAATCTGTCTGTTTTTCCTCTAGTTCGCCCTCTTCTCCGCCTTCACTAACATCTCCGCCAAATACCGAAGACCCGGAACAACGTCCGTCCACTACTAGATTATTTTCCTGTTTTGCCCCTTCGTCTCCCGGCAACGGACAACAACTTCCGGGGTCAGATGCGCTGCTTCGTGCCTACCGCAGATGTAGAAAATCACCGGGAGCGCTTCTCCCTTCATAAAGGAGCTTCTTTCAGACATGAGGAGAGCTGTTTTGGTGGTAGCAGTCTCTCCTCCATGCTGGTCTGTTTGCTGCCGGGTGTTTTTGGTTTATTTAAACTTGGTAACTTGAACTTAACGTTGGTAAAGCTACTGTTAGCATCTTCGCTAACAGCTTCTTGCGTTGGGATAAGCTGTTGCGTTTTGGTTTAGAGTTCATCTTTTTTGTGGTGCAGATCTCCCTTTTATTACATTTAGAGTGTTGTAGGTTTTCGGTTTAGTGTAAAATACCACCTGAGTTTGGTTTAACCCGTAACACCACTCGCCTCACACACATAAGTGACCAAAACAAAGCAGCATGGAGACACTCCATCTTCTACCACCTCTCAGGCAGCAGCCTGCACTCCCAAGTTCTACACGTCACCAGAACATAACCAACCAACACAATAAACGCAGTGTTATACAAAATGGAAGGCCTGTAGTGTTTATTCTCTTACAGTAACAATTTATCAATTTTTTTGAGGAATTTATTTGAGATTTTCTGGTTTTTGTTAATTGTGCAATAGAAAAATAATCATTAGATTAATTTTCTAAATAGTCATTAGAATAGTCGACTATTCGATAAAATAATCGTCAGAATAATCGTTTTAAAAATAATCGTTTACCCCCAGCCCTAACAAACACGCTTTCTTGACAATCTTTGTGAGTAAAAAAAAACGTGTAGAAATAAAAACGAACAACGTGTGTTATTAGGGAAATAGCGGGCGAGCAGTGTTGATGCATGCGCCGTGAGCGGTTCTGATACATTTTGGGTCGCAGCTGCTCGCAGCGTCGCCTCAACGGTGCGATACCCTCACGAGGGACGAGCAAAATATTAAACACGCCAGAAGTCCGTGCGAGCTCACGATTGCTGATCGGTAGCTGGTCACGTGGTGTTAACCGCCTCTCGTAACCCCCCGTACACTACACGACGCTCGGCGCAAAACTCGCCTCGACATTGTGGATTCTCGCACGAGTGGAAAATCTGCTCAAAAAAGTGAAAAAGTCACACAGTGTACGCCCGGCTTTAGTCAAAGTGTTCCTGAGTGATTTGTACAGAGGCCTGTCTCCTGCCCTATAAGCTGCTCCTTTGCCCGTCTCAACTGGCTCAGTGTCGCTGTAAGCCATGGCTTGTTGTTATTAAAGATGCAAAAAGTCTTTGTTTGCACACACGCTTCCTCACAGAAGATGATGTAGGATGTCACAGTGCCCGTTAGCTCGTTCAGTTCGTCTCCGCAAATACTCTCCAGTCTGTACAATCAAAACAGTCCTGCAACTCCTCTTTTGCTCCATTTGTCCATTTCCTCAGTCCCGATGGCTGGCTTTACAGATTTTAGTTTTTGTTTATAAGTGGGGATAAGATGAATCAAATTATGGTCAGAGAGGCCGAGCGCTGCACGAGGGACAGAGTGGTATGCCCCTTTAAGAACAGTATAGCAATGATCCAATATGTTTTTGCCTCTAGTCGGACATCTGATGTGCTGTCTGTATTTCGGTAGTTCGATTTTAAGTTTAGCCTGATTGAAATCACCCAAAATAATGAGCACTGAGTCTGGGTATTTGTTCTCTGTGGACGTAACTTGATCGGCGAGAGTCTGCAATGCAACACTCACATCTGCTTGAGGATGTATGTATACTCCAATTAAAATGAATGAAGATATTTCCCCCGGGGAGAAAATATTGTCTCCAAGTTTGAGCTACAATGTTTACTGAGAGCTGTAGCATCTGTACACCAACATTCATTAATGTAGAAGCAGATTCCACCTCCTTTCGTCTTCCCTGATAGCTCTTTTTCCCGGTCTGCGCGATGTAGACAAAACCCGGGCAGATATAATCCATTATCAGGAGTCAAGTCACTGAGCCACGTTTCCGTAAAGCAGAGGGCAGCAGAGTGTGCAACGTCTCTATTAGTCCTGTTCAGAAGGAGCAGTTCGTCTGTTTTACTAGGTCGGGATCGAACGTTCGCTAGGCGTATTGCTGGGAGAGGCACACGAAATCCCCGCTGGCGGAGTCTCACCAGCGCCCCTGCTCGTTTACCCCTCCTGCGCTTCCTTCTCCAACAAACAGTAGCAGTTCCTCCGATCAAAACTTCCAATAAACTTTCCTGGGTCCTCAAATTTTTGAAAATCCATCTCTGTGATTTGTTGCTTGATACACAGTAGTTCTTCCCTACTGAAAGTAATCGTTTTGTGTCGCTGATTTCCCAAAAAACAGACAAAAACAACACAAACAAATCTCCGGAAAGACCTACGCGGTTTCTCGTTACAGCTCGTTACTCGCCTTTAGTCTGTGTGTGAGGGTGTCTTTCTGAAACCTGAGCTCTTCGGCGTTCTCCACCTCCAGTTTAAGACTCTCCAGCTCCTGGAAGCAATTCATGAATTCTATTCATAAATTTCTCTTTATATTTGAAGGTCTATCTTACTGTTTTAGTTGAGCTGCTCTGTCTTACCACTTCTTTGGCCTTTAAAGCCATCTCCAGCTCTTCTATTGTTCTGTTGAGTTCTGTTTTCTGAGATTTGATCACCGTCGCCTGGCCGCTCACACACTCCAGCTCCGTCACCTGCAGAACAAAGAACATCCGTCTGTCCAGAGCTGGTGGAGCTACAGGAGCTGATCCTGGACTGTGAGGCGTACCCGTTTGTGTAGCCTCTCTGCCTCTTCCTGGTAGGCTGCCAGCTGCTGCTTCCACTGTTTAACGTTGGCCGTGGACTCGAGCAGAGCTGCCGTCAGTTTGGCGTTGTTCCCCTTCAGCGCCGCCAGCTCAGCCTCCCAGTGCTTGCTGATGCTGGAAGAACTGGAGACACGAAGAGTCCAAACAACTCAAAAAGTCAGACGGTTTTGTACACGCTAGGGTTCCTGAACTAACGGGATTATCGCGGTCATCAACAGGTCATCTGCTTACTGGGGGACAGTGGCTGGGGAATTCAGATGCTGATAAAATAAGTTGCCTAAAAATAACAACCACCAGAAATAAGTATGTTAATTCAGCAGAAAACAGTTACCATGGAAACTTGATTGAACCATCCACAAAAAGGTGAGGTTACAAATACAAGAGACTGCTGAATAAATATAAACCTGCCTTATGTGAAACATTCAGTGTTATTGTGGCCTAAATTTGGACCAAATTTTAATTTGCAATGAATCTAACCAAAAGCTGTTCAGATTTTCAAAATAAAATAAAACCATGATTCCGGGCACTTGCTGAGGTCTGGTTCACTTACATTCAGGGGAGGGGCTTAATAGGAGTACTGCAGCCAGCCACCAGGAGGAGTTTTGGTTCTTTTTGATTTACCTTCTACACGCTGGCTGTGACTTACCTGTGAGAGAGGGGCAAAGCATTCTGGGAAGGCTCTGCTCTGGCCTTGGTGTGCTGAGGCGTTCCTGGGGGGACTCTGTTCTCGTCTGTACCATTGATGCTCTCAGAGGTCAAAGGTGACTGCAGATCACCTGGAGCAGACTCCTGTTGTGACAAATTAGTGAAAAAGGATCGGAATCAAAAAACATTTTTTATGACGTTTTCAAAATTTCAGCAAATCCAGAGAAGCAGTTACATCACTGGAGGTTTAATGTGGAAGCGGGTCATCAGGCTTGTGGTTATGCTAAGCTAACATCTAAACAGATTGTTCTAAATCAGCTGAAAAACAAAACCAAGAGCATCCTTTATGTTCTATGGTTTGATGATTAAATACAAGATTAAATAAATTATGTTATCGGGTCATTTGAGGGCACGACAAAGGAACTGGGGGGTCGGATTGATCAGCTTCTCTTGGTGGGTAATCTCATTACCAACAAGGAAGATAGAACTTAAACACAGACAGGAAGTGATCAAACCCAGTAGGGTTAAAGGATGGAGGAGAAGTGTTGGATTATGGGTAATTGCATCTGCTTTTACCTTTCTTTTCACAGGCTTGTTGACTGACAACACATTCCTTCTTACAGCGCCACCCTGAAGAGGAAATGTTAGGAAGAGCAAAGGAACCAAACACGGGCCACAAATGGTTACAGTCTGTGTGACAACGTAACGTAGGCGTGAAGCAACTAAAAACAAAACTCACTTCCATTCTGATAAGGGATGTTCCGATATAAGTTTCTCACTTCCGATATGATACCGATATTGCAGCCTTCAGTATCGACCGATATCAATCTGATACGATATCAGCACAAAAACATACTAGCTTTGCTCCTGTTTCTTTGCCTGAGTTAACCAAACTAGTTAACTCTATGAAGACCTCTGCATGCCCCCTCCACATCTTACCCTCATCTTTGTTTAAAAGTGCTTTTCAGTCCATCAGTTCCAGCGTGCTCTCTATAATTAATGCTTCTCTGGTTTCTGGTCAGGTCCCTGCTTACTTTAAGAACGCTGTAATCCACCCGCTTCTTAAAAACCGAGTCTCGACCCCTCTCTCCATAGCAGCTTCAGACCCACCTCTAAACTTCCGTTCATCTCCAAGATCTTGGAAAAGGTTGTGGCTAAACAACTCACAGCTGCTCTTGATGAACATAACATCTATGATAGCTTACAGGCAGGTTTTCGTCGAGCTCATTCTACTGAAACAGCTCTTCTTAGGGTCTCTAATGACCTTCTGACTCACAGTGATGCAGGGGACTGTTCTGTTCTGGTCCTGCTGGACCTGACTGCAGCCTTTGACACTGTTGGCCATCACCTGCTACTGGAGAGGCTGAGAGACTGGGTAGGCCTATCAGGAACTGCTCTGGAGTGGTTCTCCTCTTATCTCTCTGAGCGCTCCTTTTCTGTGGCCATCTCCAAGTTTAGGTCCTCCACCACCTCTCTTACCCATGGTGTCCCACAAGGTTCTGTGCTGGCGCCTCTACTCTTCCTCCTCTATCTGCTTCCTCTTCAGCACATCCTGAGCTCCTTCAAAGGAATCTCCTACCATCTTTATGCAGATGACATCAAACTGTACATCTCCTTTAAGCCCCATGAGATGTCTAAGCTGCAGCTGTTACACACCTGCTTCGACTCTATCAAAACCTGGATGGCTGGGAGCTTTCTACAGCTGAATGAAGATAAGACTGAGATCTTCATCTGTGCCCCAGACAAGCTGGTTCCCAAAGTCAGAGACTCTCTTGGTCAGCTTGCTTCCCACACCAAACCTTCCGTCAGGAATCTTGGCGTGACCTTTGACCCAGCTCTCACCCTGGATTCTCATGTCAGTTCTCTTGTTCGCTCTTCCTTCTTCCATCTCAGGAACATTGCTAAGCTGAGTCCCATTCTGTCCCGCTCTGAACCTGAGACAGTTCTCCACACCTTCATCTCCTCACACTTAGACTACTGTAACTCTCTTTTCACGTGTCTGAGCAGAACCTCCCTGAACCGTCTACAGGTGGTTCAGAATGCCTGTGCTCGGCTTCTGACCAAGTCCTCCAAACACACCCACATCACCCCGCTTCTCCTCCAGCTTCACTGGCTGCCAGTCAACTTCAGGGTTCATTTCAAGATCCTGGTTCTGGTCTATAGAGCCTTACATGGACAAGCACCATCTTACATTGGTGATCTTCTTAGTCCCTACACCCCCAGCAGGCCCCTGAGGTCCAGTGATCAAAGCCTACTGGTTGTGCAGCACCAGGCTAAAGACCAAAGGTGACAGATCATCTGCTGCTGTGGCCCCCAGACTCTGGAACTCTCTCCCCCTGAGCCTGAGATCAGTGGACTCAGTGGTCTCCTTTAAAAAGCAGCTGAAGACTCACTTGTTCAAGCTGGCTTTTGTATGACCTTCTTCACCACTCTCTCTTTATTCTGCTCTCCCCACCTATTCCACCTTCCTCAGGATCCACTGATTTCCCTCTTTCCTATTCACTCTCTCTTTCTTAACATTTAGTTTTTAATCACAATTGTCTATTTTTTGCTCATTTTGAATATATTTTTAACAATTTTCTAAATTCTTTTTTATATTTTTACATTTTTTGTTTTTGTGAAGCGCCTCATTATTTTTATCTTGAGAGACGCTATAGAAATGAAACTTTCTTCTTCTACTTTCACCTGCTTTCTCGTGTGGAATGTATGAAAGGCTTGATCAAGCAATATTACTCCATTGGGGAACAAGAGCCAATAACAGTAGATATGAAAAAAATAAAAAAGACAATTTTTTTAACCACTGGTTGCAAAAAATGTGAACCTACACTTATATTGGAGATTTTCGACGCAGTCCGATATTATTCCGATACAGTTTTTGGGCCGATATAGAATTACTTCGGATATCGATATCCGAACGGGACGTCCCTAATTTTGACCCTATATCTCAGATTGTGTTAGCACTTCAGCTACAATGGCCCTGAAGGGTTAATGAAATACTAAAGCAACAAAGCAATGACCAAAGCTTCAACACGACAAAAAGCCTCAACAGGAAAAACGTTCAAAACACAACACCAAAAGACCACCATGCAACAAAAGGTTGCAACCAGATTATTACACGTCTATGGTTGCAGCACAACCTGAAAAATGGCAAAAGGTCAGAACACAACCACAAAAAAGCCAAAACAAGGTGGCAAAAAAGTCGCAACCAAATGACAAAAAGCAGAAACGCAACAAGAAATCCACAACAGAACAACAAAAAGTTGCACCACAACAACAAAACTACAACAGAAGTTTACAGTACTACAATAAAATAGCAGCCCCACGGTAGTGGGCCCTGTGGTCCGAACGCTGTTATTTTCGTTTTTGGCCTAGCTAAATAATTACCTTATGAACAACGCTCAAGTAAACACAACGACCCTAACAGGGCTAGACCGAGCTGCCCCGCGTGTAAATGCGGCTTCTGTGAAACTTATGGACATTTTGGTGTTTGCCTACATTGTTTAGCTGCCATCTTGAATCAGGTCAACTTGAAAATTGAAAGATTTATTTTTGCCCAGCGAATATTTGGTGGACAAAATATACTCAACAAAAAGGTATAATCGAGTCTGAAGTATATCCGGCACCGCTGTTGAACAAAGCTAATGCAACTAGTCATTTTGGCGGGTTGAATACATTTTTGTAACCATTTCTGGCATCACACAAAAAGCCAGAGCCTTTGAATCTGAACATCTGGATTCTATTACCTGAGAGGGGGTGCTGGTGAGCTCCATCTTCTCCTGAGACTTCTCTTTTGCTAACCGTGCAGCTTCCTTGAACTCGGCGAATTTCTCTGCAAACTGAAACCACAGAAGGTGACTCAGACGCTTATGCTTCATTTAAGTCGTTGGCGTGTTCTCACCTTGGCCAGGTGGCTCTCGGATGAGAAGCCGAGCCCGTAGACAGTGTTGGCTCGGCTGTCGGCCCACTGGCCAAACTTCTGTGACGTCTTGGTGAACGTCATGTTGGGGGTGATGGTGCTGTTTATAATGGCCTGTGGAGGACAGAGTACCGTGTGATTTCTGGTCCTCTAAACAGATTAGATCGGTATAATTAACACACTTTAAATGGCTGAAATATTCCTTTAAAGTGAATTCAGTTCACCGCCATGGACGTCCATCAGACTGCTTTGGTTACCTCTGTTATAAAGTTTTAAAGTGACAAAAATTAATTACAAAAAAAACCCTACAAGAATAACTTCTTTACTACATTTCTTTAATATAAAGCATCAAAACTAGTTTTTTGATTTGTTCCTAAGAACAGAAACTTCAGCAGCTAGGTTTTTGGACCACTAGAGGGCAGCAGAAACTCTAAATATGAAGTATGAAATTAAGAATGATTCTGCAAACTTCAGTATTTTTTACACACGTTGTGAGCACCACATGTGAGCGCCTGCCTCCTGTTTGCTGGACGTGGTGCTGTGAGAAAAAGCCAGCTCTGAAAAGCTGAACCAACGTCCAAATGCCATCTCACCATCACCGTTTCTATCAGACCATCAACTGGGAAACGCGCTTCCTCGACGGCATTCACATCAAAGTTCACAGAGCAGCCTGCTGACTCATCGTGTGTGACATTTGTCTTTGGGTTTCTCTCCAGACGTCGTCTGGATGATGATGTCCTCCAGCTTCGGCCCACGCGCTCGCTGCGCTTTCCAGCAGAACACAGCTAACCCGCTGGTTCAACAGCAGCGCCAGTCAGCCACAGAAGCTCTTACATAACTCCAGCACCTCTCATGAGACTAAAATAATCTCTGCCACGTCCATATGAGAGGCCCGACTGAGCTAAAGATAAAAAGTCCATCATGAATACTGAGTGAGGAAGTATTGCAGAAGACCTCCGGACCCATCAGGTCACCCAACAAACTTTTGTCCGTTCTACTGATTTGTTTTTACTGCTGATGCAATGTTTAGGATTGAGACACTTCTCTCATTCTTTTATAATCCGTATTTCTTTGGGGGGGGGGGGGGGGGGGGGGGGTGCACACGAAAACTGTTTATTATTTCGTATGAGCTGCATGGTAGCACAGCTGCCTCTCAGGTTGCAGGTTTGAATCCCAACTGCAGCCTTCCTGTGAGGAGTTCTCCCCATGCCTGTGTGGGTTTCCTTCACAGACTAAAAACATGCCTGTCAGGTTAATTAGAGAGGGATGGCTCGCTCGTCTCTGCTTGACTCATTTTTAATACGTTGGCACCGTCTATTTTCTACCAGACGCTTAGGCAGGAGAGAGGTGTAGGAGACGATGTTCATGTTCAGCCTGCATGAAAAGCTCAGATTATGAACTCAGTGAAGTTGACCTTCAGGGAATTTACTAAGATGTCAGCACATCACGACTGTTTCAGTGGTGAGTGATATCACTGATCACCATCAAAAGGAGATCAAAGCAACAAAGTTTTTAGTATTTTCTTTTCCTTCAGTTCTGTTTCACTGACAACTCTTCTAAATGTCCAAAAGCTGGTTGTTTCACGACGTCGGCCAATAAATCTTCCTACTGAGGCCTAGTCCACACGTAGCCGGGTTTTTTTAAAAACGAATATTCGCCCCTCCAAAAACTTGCATCCGTTTAAAAAAAAACTGTCCACACGTACCCGGATAAATACGTGGTTAAGGACATGCCAGACCTGTAGGCGGCAGTACTTCCCCCGTGCTTAACCTCGTCCTTCGTCTGTGGTCTTCCGCAAGGAGCAGTAATTCCGCTTGCAAACACAAACAAGCAGAAAGCGCTTGGACAATTGATAAAGCGAGCGCAGCTCTGAGGGCATCCATGCTGTCGGCTAGTGTAAACACAGGTCGCACACGTGATGTCAGCATTTTTTTGTCGCGGAAAGTGACGTTGCGGACCTTAAAACTCCGGTTCTGTCTGTCCACACGCAGACACCCAAAACGGAGAAAATGCAGATCTTCACTTTGGCCGGAGTTTTTAAAAAGATCCGTTTTCATGTGAAAAAACTCCGTTTTCGTGTGGATGACAGGCCAAAACGTAGAAAAATATCTACGTTTTGGCAGATCCCCGGCTACGTGTGGACAGGGCCTGAGTTACAACCAATCAGCATGAGTTAAACACTAGTCCTGCCTACTGGGAAATTTCAGAGGACACATCGAGAGGCAGGTGGTTGTAGGGCATAAATCACTGGTTTGATCCTGACACCATATTATACCGATGCGGTGGAAATCTCAAATTCAGTCACAACAGCATTTTAATTTGACGTCACCAACATGTTTGATGTCCAGGAACAGGTGGAAAACAACATGTCAGCAGAACTTCTAAATTAAGCTATTTTAACCCTTACCTCACATTAGAGCATTTTTTTGTGCTGACACGTGTATTTTTGTGAATAACTTTGGCTATGTTAATGCAATTTATCTAATTTTTATGGAGGATGTGTATTTTGGAAGGAATTACAAAAAAAAGTTTGAAAAAATTTTCAACCTACTTTATTAAAACGTGGAAATCATTTTGTACAGTTAAGCACATTGAAGGAATTTTTTTGTGCCATTGACTTTCATGTAAATCATATATTTTTAATTAGCATAAATATTGGCATAATTTTAAAAAATTATGATTGTGCCCGTGTTTACAGTCTCATCACAAATGTAAGAAGCAGTTTTTACTGTTTTTCACTACATGGCATACTTTCTCCATATATAGCAGGGCAATGGCTGACCCAGCATTTAAACTGAATGATTTAGCTGTATTTCTTTACCTCTGACTGCCCATTATAATACATATTTTGCAAAAAAATGGTTTGTGTGTTATTTAGAGATGCCATACAATAGTTTGCATGTGTGTGTTCTGAATTTTTGGTAATTGTGCTTTTTCAGTGTTCTTTCAAAAAATAAGCCTGACTGAATGTACAAAATTAGCTTATTCTGCAAAATAGCATTTTGACATGTGTTCCTTTGTGTGTGATTGTTCAGGCATGCGTGTATGTAGGTATCAAAGCACTTTACAGATCTTCAAAGGACAGATCTGTGATCATTATCTGGAGTGGTTGAGCAGGTGTGGGCCATGGGAGTGTAGGGGGGGGGGCACAGGTTCTCACACTCTGTTGACTTCATGAATATTCATCAAAGGCATGCTATATATCAAAAATCAAAGGATTTTCTGCTAAATTTCAGATACTCATTCACAATTTTACTTTTGCAAAATGTTATTTCAATAAGTACAAAGCATTTGCATGGATGAAAGCTAAGATGAAGGCTGAAAAACTTCAAAGGCATACATTTGTTTTTCAAAACAAATTCCTGCAGAATCGAATTTTGTTTACATTCAGTAGGGGCAGCTTACACAGGTGCACCAATTGACTAAAAGTACATATATGAGACTCAGATCAGGATTCATTTCTTTGAACCGCAACCATGAGAAGAAGATTCAATGTGAATGAAGCCCTGGAGGTGTTTCAGCAGCTTGAGGAAGAGGGAGAGTCAGCCTCATCCTCATCCACGGATGACAGCTCTTGTTCGGATGAAGAGGCTGAAGATCAGGCCTTTACCCCAGGGCCTGATTCAGGGGAAGAAATGGAAGAAGGTTCAGATGAGGAGGTGGTTGCTGCAGAGGAGAGATGGGACCATCCTTTGTGGCAATCAAAGAGCGGGATCGCCTGGTCCCCGACACCCGACACCAGGATCCCCTTTCGGGCTCCAGACGTCCGCCATTGTGGGATCACCCGCCTCGCTGTCAGCTACATCCAAACTATTGAGGACAGCTTCGATTTTTTTTTAACTACAACAATCCTAGATGTAATAATAAAATACACCAATATAGAGGGAAGAAGAAAATATGACGATTGGACAGACGTTGACCGCGTGGAACTCCGGGCATTGTTTGGGTTGCTCATCCTCGCTGGTGTGCACCGTTCCCGTGGGGAATCATCTGCCAGCCTCTGGGGGGAGGAAACGGGGAGGCCGATATTCAGAGCCACGATGAGTTTTGGAAGGTTCCACATGCTGACTGCAACATTGCGCTTTGATGACCGCTTGACCAGGGCAGCCCGCCGGTTGGTGCAGCAGGACAAGCTCGCTCCCCTGCGGGAAGTGTGGGACCTCTGGGCGGCCCGGCTCCCTCTCGCCTACAACCCCGGTGAAGATGTCTGCGTTGATGAACAGCTCGTCGGATTCAGAGGTCGCTGCAACTTCAAGCAGTACATGCCCTCAAAACCGGCAAAATATGGCATCAAGCTGTGGGTGGTGTGCGATGTGGCCACTTCTTATGCCTGGGGGATTATTCCCTATCTGGGCAAGACGACTCGAGACGCCCCGGCAGAAAGGGGGCAAGGGAAGCGGGTGGTGCTGGAACTCACGGAGGGTCTGAGCGGCCGCACTGTCACCACGGACAATTTTTTCACCTCGCTGGTTCTTGGAGAGGAGCTGCTAAAAAAAAAAAATCTGTCTTGTGGGAACAGTTAGGCGCAACAAGCCAGAGTTGCCCCCACAGCTGCTCCAGATGAAAAGCAGAGCGGTTCTGTCCTCCCTGTTCGGCTTCACCTCCACCGCCACCGCGGTGAGCTACATTCCAAAGCGCCGGCGGAACGTTCTGCTCCTCGGCACCAAACACCATCAGGTTCAGATCCAGGAGGGACCGCAGCAGAAGCCGATCGTAATCATCGATTACAACCGCTGCAAAGGGGCAGTTGACAACTTGGACAAGGTAATTTATTTATTTTATTTTGTTTTATTATAATTCACCAACCTAATTGCATATGTAATTTATTTATTCATTTATTTTTATTCCAGCTCGTTGCAACATACAGCTGCCGCCGCAAGACCAGACGTTGGCCCATGTCGCTCTTCTGCAACATGTTAGATGTGAGCGCCTACAATGCCCTGGTCCTGTGGCTGTCTGTGGAACCGGCCTGGAACCAACAGAAGAGGAGCATCCGTCGAAGGCTGTTCTTGCAGGAGCTTGGGACCTCCATGGTGAGACCAGCCCAGGCGAGGCGCACTCGCTTGCCGCGGTCCAGCAGCGCTGCAGCTCTGTTGGAGGTGCAGCAGCAAGTGGAGCCAGGTCCAGCCCAGGAGCAGACAAAGAAAAGATGCCACCTTTGCAGAGGGAAGAGGAGCGTGCATGCACGCTTTTGCCATGCATGTGGACAGGCTGTGTGCAAGGAGCACTCAACAGTTGTGTGCTCAGCCTGCAGCTGTTAGCTCACTCCCCTCTGTGTTTCTCTCTCTTTCTCTCTCTCTCTCTCTCTCTCTCTCACACACACACACACACACACACACACACTTTTTCTTTGTTCGTGTGCTTTAATAAAGTGTTCAACTGGTCATCTTTGTAAGTGCATTTTTTTGTGCTCTAATGACTTTAACGTGAGTATTTTAGAAAATATGACATTACACAAAAACTACAAAGTGAGCAAAAAATATTTTTATGCCTATTTGTGACACTCCAAGGCTGTGACAACTTACCCACAAAAAAGGTCATCTGGACATAACACACAAAAAATGATTTGATTTTTTCATTTTTTGTACAGTTTTCAAACTTCGGGTTTTGCTAATAAACCTAGCAATAAAGGGGTTAAATCTGAGAAACACACACATATTTTATTATATTTTGTTAGGGCTGAAGCCAAGGATGAAATTCATGTAAAAAAATTGGGACTTATGAAATATTATATAATATTTCTATGGGAAGCTTTCTAAGTGCATTTTTTTGTGCTCTAATGACTTTAACGTGAGTATTTTAGAAAATATGACATTACACAAAAACTACAAAGTGAACAAAAAATATTTTTATGCCTATTTGTGACACTCCAAGGCTGTGACAACTTACCCACAAAAAAGGTAATCTGGACATAACACACAAAAAATGATTTGATTTTTTCATTTTTTGTACAGTTTTCAAACTTTGGGTTTTGCTAATAAACCTAGCAATGAAGGGGTTAAATCTGAGAAACACACACATATTTTATTATATTTTGTTAGGGCTGAAGCCAAGGATGAAATTCATGTAAAAAAATTGGGACTTATGAAATATTATATAATATTTCTATGGGAAGCTTTCTAAGTGCATTTTTTTGTGCTCTAATGACTTTAACGTGAGTATTTTAGAAAATATGACATTACACAAAAACTACAAAGTGAGCAAAAAATATTTTTATGCCTATTTGTGACACTCCAAGGCTGTGACAACTTACCCACAAAAAAGGTCATCTGGACATAACACACAAAAAATGATTTGATTTTTTCATTTTTTGTACAGTTTTCAAACTTTGGGTTTTGCTAATAAACCTGGCAATGAAGGGGTTAAATCTGAGAAACACACACATATTTTATTATATTTTGTTAGGGCTGAAGCCAAGGATGAAATTCATGTAAAAAAATTGGGACTTATGAAATATTATATAATATTTCTATGGGAAGCTTTCTAAGTGCATTTTTTTGTGCTCTAATGACTTTAACGTGAGTATTTTAGAAAATGTGACATTACACAAAAACTACAAAGTGAGCAAAAAATATTTTTATGCCTATTTGTGACACTCCAAGGCTGTGACAACTTACCCACAAAAAAGCTAATCTGGACATAACACACAAAAAATGATTTGATTTTTTCATTTTTTGTACAGTTTTCAAACTTCGGGTTTTGCTAATAAACCTGGCAATGAAGGGGTTAAATCTGAGAAACACACATATTTTATTATATTTTGTTAGGGCTGAAGCCAAGGATGAAATTCATGTAAAAAAATTGGGACTTATGAAATATTATATAATATTTCTAAAGGAAGCTTTCTAAGTGCATTTTTTTGTGCTCTAATGACTTTAACGTTAGAAAATTTAAACGTTGGGTAAGGGTTAAAAGTAAAAGTGCATTTGATAAATAGTTTTTCTATCAACTCTTGCATTTTGGATCGATATCCATATAATCGACGTAGATGGATGTATTGTTACACTCCTACTTGGCCGGGTCCTAAAATGGCCCAGTGAAACGGAGACATGCACGTACAGCGAAGGACCGGAAAAGTTACCAAGAAGTTCCGACAGTGGAAATGGGCCTATTCACTGCTGGAGTTAGGCACCAGCCCCCACAACTCCACTGACGAATAAACGGTTAAGATAGACTATCGCATTATATCTGCTGCTGTGACAACACAATTTCCACCTGGGGGTAATCACAAACATCCTCAAACGTTTCCCATAAGTCTCCGTCACACTGAACCCCTGTGATTTTAAAAAATCAGCCACAATCCAGCAGGTATTTGCAGGGTCTTGATGGGGTCCTGAGAAGGCGATAGGCTTTTTATTACATACCTTAGACCCATCCAGACTGATGATCCGATAAACATTCCTGGTGCTGTCGAAGAAGTAGGAGACGGTGACGGCGTGCTTACTCGTGGGAACCCAGTTCTTCTTGGTGCTTGGGTCGATCTGGAAGACGTGGGCACGCGTGCTAAAGATGGGCTGCTCACTGCACACACACACACGCACGCACAGAGAGAGAGGAACAAACTGAGAAGGAGGGAGAAAAGATCCAGGATCTTAATAAAAGACATTAGCTCTGACATTCCTGACCTTCACCAAGGATGGAAAACATGCTTTGATTACTCAAACATATAAATCAACATTTCAAAATACTGCGGGACAATAACTGTTAATCTCTTCAACCTCTCCTTCGCTGTTCTTGAACATAAATGATCAGAATAAATATTCTCACACGTCTGGCTCACGAGACAAGCCAGACGTGTGATAAAAAATGTATCTAAAAACAACTAGTTAGTTACATCTTAGCACATTAATCCTTTAAGCCTCCACACACGCGCACGCGCGCACACACACACACACACACACACACACACACACACACACACACACACACACACACACACACACACACACACACACACACACACACACACACACACACACACACACACACACACACACACACACACACACACACAGTTCAGCTACAGGCTGTGTTAAAGGCACAATACTGCTTGAGAGTTTGCAGCCATGCTAGCAGCTAGCAGTGCCTTGAGTCAAAGTAATGCAGTGAAATAGACCATGTATGAACACACACACACACACACTAGACTTATTTTTATTTTTTTTTAAACACTTGCGAAAGGCGAGGGCCATAACTGTCACTGTGGTCATCAAAGGATTGTCGTCTAGCCGTGCCTACACCTCGCTCGAGACGATCCAGACTTTCCTGTATTTCCATGATGGAATGGCCCACCCAGCGGCAAACCCTAACTGAACAGGGGCATTCCATCTATCTCCAATAAAAAGACCCAGCTCGTTGGAAAGCATCTCCTACTCTAGAGCCTGCAGTCCCCGAACCCTACTGTACTCTCTTTGTGCACTTCCCCAAGCTTGCCCTTTATTTCGCCAAGACAAGTCAAGTAATGGTATGGGAATTTTGTCGGTCAGCCTCTAGTCACATCTACTAGTGCACAATAAAATAATAATAAAACCTTAGAAGTGGTGTTTTAACGCAAACACTTCATCAATGGCAGGGTATTCATTTTATAGATCACATGATTAAAGGTAGAACAGCAAATTTAAAAAAAAAAGCTAGCTTATACATTATTTTTATGCCTCTTAACAACATTCTTACACAGTATAGCTATAAATGGATTGTGGAGATTAAAAAAAATGATAAACTAAAAAAAATATGATGTGGTTCGCTCACATTTGCCTAAAAATAACACAGCTTGAACCAAAAGCTACAACTGGATCATCTGGTTGTCGGTCTCATCGAACCATTACCATTACACTCATTACTCGCTTACGTATTCAGCAGCAGAACACCACTGGTCTGATGTTTACCACTCAATCATATCAGAGCTGGAGAAATAGCTAGCTGCTACCACAAAACACCAGAAATTATATTTCTCGGTACCAAATGTGAGAGCAAGTGCTCACCAGGCCTGACCACCAATGTGTGTGCTCACGTGAAGGGAAGCAGTGATGCCTAAGATGACCCGGAGGCAACCTTTGCCAACATACAGAGATCAGCAGCCACTGGATGGCTTCCAAGCACTGCTATGGATGAAGAGCTCACAAGGCCTTGGATTAAAAGCAAATCGCTATATAAGCGTTGGCACTGTAACTGGTCATAACCAACAACAATGCAAAAGAGATGATTTCTGTTAGAGATTCTGAAAGGGGAAGTAGCATATAGTCTGTACTTCTCCGTTTGGCCTGCTTTCCCTGCAACCCCGACCCGGATAACCAGATGATTAGGACTTTTCAAATTAATCCATAAAGATTCACACTGGTCTGACGATGTTAATGAAAAAAATAAAGCAGGCAAATGAGGTGGAAAGTTACTGTCCTTGATTAGGCCGTTTAAATTGTGTCAGTTTAAAACAGAGTCCAGATGTGGGGACAGAAAACAGAAACTTCAATGAAAAGAAGTGATGAGCCACTTTGGTCTCACCTTAAACTCAATCCTTTCATGGTATTAATGAACAACGGTGGCCCACCTTCTTCAGATCAACCAGAAGAAATGACACATTAGCTACAGCAACAGCACAATGGTATAAAGTTATTAAAGCCAGAACATGTTTTCACATTTATGTGCTAAATATGCTATTTACCATCACGTTTCCACCATAAACAAGCTAAAAAAAAAAAAAAAAAGAGCAGACAAACATGTAGCTGGATGACTTTTCTGAATGATTATGTTTGACAGCAAACATCTGCACATGAAGATCCTGACCGGGCTGACTATACATAAATTAATGCAAAGTGCACTTGCAGGACATGTTCTATAAATACTCAATGAAGTCTGAACTGGAAGGTTGTCCACACACAGGCTGGGTTTCAAAATTTGATGCTATAACATCCATGTCACCCAAAGCCTTTCATAAGGTTACAAACAAACAAAAGCATTGGTACAGTCGTGTTTATATTTCCAATAGACTGTTTTAAACATTTCTATGATGGCTGTAAAATGGAAGGGTTACCAGGAGAGGCATCTTTATACGTTTTGGTTACTGTAGATATCTGTATCCTACGTAGATCATATTAGACAGATGTCACAGCAACATGCAAATAAGTCTCCACCTTCCAGCTTGTGTTAGATGTAGAGATGGATACCGCTGAGATCCTTTGACTCAGAAATACTAAATGCTAAACACTATTTGACTCAGGAGGGAAAAAGGCCTTAATGGTTTTGATTTTTAAAAGTCCATGCCAATCGACTAACCAATCGTGATGGTGGTACAGGTCGCTTCAGTGAATAGTGGCTGTAGTTGCACTAATAAAAGAGAAAAAAGGGAAAAACGGCAAAACGCTTATAGTATTTATGCGGCCTTGGCCCCAAATCGGGATAGATAGTGGGTGGCAAAATTGAAAAAATAAATAGTCCAAATGCTAAAAGTAAATGGTCTGTATTGATATATTGCCTTCTAGAGTCCTACAACCCCGCAAAGAGCTTTACAACAAACAGTCATTCACACTAACACATCGGTGGTGATGAGCTACATTGTAGCCATAGTCGCTCAGGGGCACGCTGACAGAAGGAAGGCTGCTGTACACTGGCGTCACCGATCCCTCTGATCACCATCAGCAAGCTAGGCTGGTTAAGTTTCATGCCCAAGGACATAACAGCAGACGGGACACAAACCTACAACTCTTCAGTTACAGGGCGGGCACTTATATCCTCTGCCACTGTTCCACATAAAAGTAAAGACATTCATGCATGAGATGTGTTTTCATAGACTTTAACAAAGTCTAAATTGTAGTCTAAAAAGCATCAAAACACACCATTTAACATATAACACCTCACTGCTAGAGTTGGGCGATAAAACCTTAGCGATATGTATTTCAAACCTTGATAGATAAATGAGAATGGGTCAGAGAAAACATTTGATATAACAACCAGATGAATAGCCAGTCACATTATGTGTTTCTTTGTGCTGGACCAATTGTGACTGGGATAGATCAACATGGCACAGTAGCAGCAGGAAGAGCTAACAGCTAAAGTTTGTGTGGCTTTAGCCTACTTTAGGTATCAGTTAGGAAAGACATTGCTAGAAAAAACAGAAAAATAAGAACCGGGAAAGGAAAAGACGTAGGACACAGCAAAATGAATTTGTTGACAATAAGGTAGGGGTGGGCGATTTGGTGAAAAATCCTATTACAATAGTATTTTTCATTTCTATCCATCCATCCATCCATCCATCCATTTTCATCCGCTTATCCGGAGTCAGGTCATGGGGGCAGTAGCCTAAGGCGAGAGGCCCAGACTTCCCACTCCCCAGCCACTTGGGCCAGCTCTTCCAGGGGAATCCCAAGGCATTCCCTGGCCAGGTGAGAGACGTAGTCCCTCCAACGTGTCCTGGGTCTTCCTTTAGGTCTCCTCCCAGTTGGACGTGCCCGCAAAACCTCACCAGGGAGGCGTCCAGGAGGCATCCTGACCAGATGCCCGAGCCACCTCAACTGGCTCCTTTCGATGTGTTGGAGCAGCGGGTCTACTCCGAGCCCCTCCTGGATGACCGAGCTTCTCACCCTATCTCTAAGGGAGAGCCCAGCCACTTTTGGGAGAAAACTAATTTCGGCTGCTTGTATCCACGATCTCGTTCTTTCGGTCACTACCCAAAGCTCATGACCATAGGTGAGGGTAGGAATGTAGATCGACCGGTAAATCGAGAACTTCACCTTCTGACTCAGCTTTCTCTCCACCACGACAGACCAGTACAACGCCCGCATCACTGCAGATGCAGCACCAATCCGCCTATCGATCTCATGCTCCCAGTTTTCCCTCACTCGTGAACAAGACCCTGAGATACTTTAAACTCCTCCACTTGGGGCAGGACCTCATCCCTGACCCGGAGAAGGCATTCTACCCTTTTCCGAATCAAGACCATGGTCTCAGATTTAGAGGAGCTGATTCTCATCCCAGCTGCTTCACACTCGGCTGCGAAGCGCTCCAGCGAAAGCTGAAGGTAACGTTCTGATGAAGCCCACAGGACCACATCATCTGCAAAAAGCAGAGACCTGATCCTCCGGCCACCAAAACGGATGCCCTCCACACCTTGGCTGTGCCTAGAAATCCTGTCCATAAAGGTTATGAACAGAATCGGTGACAAAGTGCAGCCTTGGTGGAGTCCAACTCTCACTGGGAACGAGCCCGACTTACTGCCGGCAATGCGGACCAAGCTCTGACACTGGTCATACAGGGACCTAACAGCCCGTATCAGAGGGCCTGGTACCCCATACTCCTGGAGTCAAACGCCTTCTCCAAATCCACAAAACACATGTAGACTGGTTGGGCAAATTCCCACGCACCCTCCAGGATCTCCCTAAGGGTATAGAGCTGGTCCAGTGTTCCACGGCCAGGACGAAAACCACATTGCTCCTTCTGAATCTGAGATTCAACAATCAAAATCCCAGCTAGGCACCAGAACATCACTGTGTCGATGCTCAGACGTAAGTAACACTGAGCAGCTCTAACGT